TCTCTCTTTGGATCTCAATATTTTCCCACTAGATGGCCAAGACCTAGTGTTTTTGCAGTATTTCGACATGCAAATGTATGACGTCACCATTTCAACCATCAATGAACGCATGGAACTAAAACAAAGCTTAATATAAAGGAAAAGCTGGAGAGTGGAGAGGTGATGGAATTACCTACAATGTCAGAATATGCCACGTTTACCCTATTACGGTAGTATTACCTATACAGTATACACAGTATACAGAATTGAAAATTCCATACTGAATTTTTAACTTATGTCTAGTCTGTTCTCGAAGGCATTCATACTCAGAGTCAGAGCATCAACAATGCTATCAGGGAGGCTGTTCCACATGTCGGTGACTCAAAGCAAGAAGAAATGTTGTCGCATGGATGTATTACAACACAGTTTTTTTAGTTTATACCTAGCCGTGGGCCCGTGGCCCCTGGTCACCTGGTGTTGGTTCTTATTTCATACCTAGGTAAATGGGCAACTTGGCAAGTCTTACCCTGGACCCTTAAAGTTAAACTTAAAGTGAGCCTAAAAACTGGAAAAGTCAAAATTGTCTATTTTTGACCTAAATGCTCCGACTCCCCTCAAATGCCCGAATTTGTCACCCACCACTCCACCAGCCACAGGGCTGGGCACCATGCNTGGTCAGAGTCGCCCGAAGCCTCGTCAGTGAGGAAGGAAATTTTCAAGTCTGATGATGCTTATGATGGCAGCAGGCCAGAAGCATTCTCTCCGGAGTCCAATTGTCAGATGGGGAAGTTCGATCAGACTTTCTCGTGTAAATTAAATGAGTCAAGCCTCAGGCTCACCTTCAAAGAAAAAAAATTAATTTCAGTAATGTACCTCGAGTCCTACATTTACACGAAAATCGGAAAGCCTTTCTGTCTAGCTTTCGACATTGCACTGGCCAAAGGAGGCTGTGAGGCGATCGTTGAAAGTCTTTATTCGGTCATGAAAGCGCAAATTCAACATGGTGGACAGTCAAATGATGTATTAGTGAACCGTACAAAAGTAGATTGGCACTGCCCGCTATCTTCGCTAGGCGTAATGGATTTCATTACGGATGCAGCAAAATTGCACCAATCTAAGCACTCTGTCCCCTACACACGCTTAAACTACGGTGCATCAGCTATTGTGAAACGTCTCAAGACGGAGAAAGGGCGCATCCCTGACAAAATGTGAACTTATCACCTTGATGTTATGTTGCAGTATTCTTTAGAAATAAGGATGATCGGTTTCTGTTAGAACCAGCACATGCGGTAAGAATGGTTGAAGGTTACTAAATAGGCTATTGCCTCAATATCGTACTATTATGATGCTCACTTAGGCGGATAACTTCATAACGGAATCACTTCACTTTTTCAATAACTGTCTTTGAATTACGTGATTTTTTATTTTCTGCCTTTATTGCAGTGACAAAATGAACTAAGTTCATAGCGGGAAGTAAAGTCATGATCATAAATGAATCATCGAAATACGAAAACTTTCATCTAATACAGTACCTACCTACCATGAGGGTCATTCATGTCTTATTGCTCGAGAATCAAATTTGACGTGAAAACAAGTATCAGCGTTTTTTTTCTTTGTCATAATAAGTAATCTTCAACTTGGTAAGAAATCATGTATACTGTCAATAGATGCCAAAAAATGACTGCGTTTAAATGGTAAATTGCTTCGTTTTTAATGTTCGGGTCTTAATATTATTAGTGTGGAGAACATTTTTCCGTAAAAAGCATCGTATAATATTAAAAAAATGTAAACCTGCAGAAATTAATAAAGATTGAAAACAGTTTATCCCCACACGTCCGTATTATAGGTGTAGGAAGAGGATCCACCGTCTGCGTGCTTGTTGTCCGTCGTTCCAGGAAGTGACCGGGCAGGCGGCAGGCCGGTAGCTACGGCACGACGAAAACTACGTATACAGTAAAACTATTTATCATTTATGCACGTTCCTAGATTTTATTATTGAGGCAATGAACTTATAAAGGAACAATTGTTTTATTCTAAATTTAGATGTTATTCAACGTGTTGATTCTATTTATCAATTCCGTGAGAAGTGCCATGAACTTCAACCAAATCCATGCGAAACCTTTTTTGAGCAATTCCGTGACATTTTCTAATTTGAGTACCTCTGTTCGGTACCTTAAATTTCCAGTTGGGGAATTACCTACGATGTCGGAATATTCCGCATTTACCCTACTCAGTACAGTATGCCTTTAATTATCTTTCAATAATATATGATTTTTCTTGATACGGAAATTTGGTGAATGAGAAATCTAGAACTTTATTTTAGAAGAAATTTTCTCCAAAGTCATATGGCAACACTGAACACCGTCTGTTTACATTTCGTATGTATAACAGCCGCAGTTTACGATTACCGTACGTTCCGTATCCGGCAAGGCGGACAAGCGGATGAGTCAGAAGTAACCCGGACATGTCTTACATTTTATTATTGTCAGTTCGACTCGCGTAGTCAATATACTTGCGTATATTGTCGACTAAAATAGTAGAACTATTTTAGCTTTCTAAAGTACGGCACATTTTTTTACCAGCATAGTACGGCGCACCGCACAGGTCGTTAAAATGACAAAATAAATTCCCGCGCACCTGGCACATCTTCCTGACCAATACAATAGTGACCATGGCTGAAGATCAAGATGCTAATGATTTTGCCTATTTTTCCTTATTTTATTTTGCCCTTGTCAAAGTCAAAAAGGATGATTGGCATTTGGCAACATTTATAGAGGTGAAAAATCTGCTGGTTTGCCAACATGATTAGCCTAACCTTAGTTTAGTAACCTACCTATTTGATTAGCCTAGGTACTACCCTAATAATCTAATTGGTGTTTACTCTTGACTCGTCTTCCGTAATACCGTAGGAATTAGAAAAGCAAAATACCAGTAATAAACACATTACTGAAGTAAAATAATGAACATTATTCGTAACCATACCTGTCTTTATGAAATAATTTTTCGATTGTAGCTGACATTTTGGAATGAATTTAGGAGAGACGACACACGACACTACATATGAGCGGAAGCAACTGCCATCACATGAACTCGTTCGATTTTAAAATGCGGGTGGCGGACGTGTGGATGTGAGAACTTTATGAAAATTTATTTTTATTTCTAAATTGTAATTTTCAGCTGATATTCCATGAGCAGTGATAGTTCTGTGATTATTTAGATTTTTAATTAGCTATCTAATCAATAATAAAGTGTAGCCAACGATACTATTTTATGTTCATTTCGATACAGGTGAATGATAACGTCGTTTCGTCATCATTTTATCTGGAGTGGTTGCCGCATTAAAATGATGACTGTTGTATTTCATGGTTGAACTAGTATACATGGTTGAACTATATAAGGTTGACCCACGAGAAGTTCCGTCTTTCAGTTCAGCTTTCTTGTTGCGTCACGTAGATCGAGAAACGTAAATAAACCCGTCATTCCCATGACGGATTGGTCGACTGGTTTGATCGCATTTCGGTGATTGGTTAATGCCCGTGACGTCACTGAGATCAGTGACGTAATAGGCTACATCCGCAAAAATGGGCTTCTGATGGGTGTACCTTATACTAGTTCAACCATGCTAGTGTGACGGAACCCGAATTTAATGAAATACTTTTTTTGAGAACGTAGTATTGGTTGGACTTGGAAGATCAGCTTCATTAAGAGATTCGAGTCTTGACATTATCTATTACGTTACAATATGACTCAATAATGGTTGAATGTATTTATTTATGACTAAGCAATGTGTAAACGAATATTTATTTCGCGACTGTAATATGGAAACTTGTCTAGCTGTGGTGTTTGTAGTCTTGGAACGAGACAGGGTGTAGCTCCAACGTGATTGGTCGAGCTGCTCCTAACCTCGTTATAACGCGCGCTAGGCAGTCGTGAACGATGGAGAGTTTGGTCTCTTTGGAATTAGTTTAAGATTATTAGATTTCTAACTGTGATTAGATTGCCAAATGATTACAAATATGTTGACTTTATTGTATTATATTATATTATCTAATTTTTTTTGCACTTAGGAAGTGTTACAGTCTGTTTTGTACATTGCAAACAGTTGTTGAAGTGAGCTCATTTTGGTTGAGTTACCCCCTCGTTGTGTGCACTCGGAAGTAGTGTGTGCTCAGTGGTGCTGGGTTGGGGTGACACGGTTTCGACTCGAATCAGGCAGAGCCAAATTTGGGCTTCCAAGAATAAACTACACCGCAGTTCTGGGCATAACTCTTAATGAGTTCCTCTAACGGACTAATAACGGCGTAGGTGGAGTTCTTGGATAGTTCCAGGTTTTGGCTGCGTTGGGCGGTTAACAGCCGTTCAAATCGCACCCTCGAGGTAGAGGCTAATAACCTCTGCGCTCGAGTAAATTGTCAGCGGCTTATTGGAGGCTCGTACCTTCAATGGTCGTGCTTTTGAGGCGTAACTGCCACCACGGTTCTGTGTTCTGGGCAGTGCATTAGGGCTCGAACCCCTGATCATTGCGTTGGTTGTCGGCATTGTGGTGCGGCTCGTACCTGTACCCTTGCTGTCCGTTCCTGCGATGTTGTCAGTTTTGTGGTGCGGCTCGTACCCGTACCCTTGCTGTCCGTTCCTGCGAGGTTGTCAGTTTTGTGATACGGCTCGTACCCGTATCCTTGCTGTCCACTCCTGTAAGGTCGTCAGTTTTGTGGTGCGGCTCGTACCCGTACCCTTGCTGTCCACCCCTGCAAACTCGTCAGTTTTGTGATACGGCTCGTACCCGTATCCTTGCTGTCCACTCCTGTAAGGTCTTCAGCTTTGTGATACGGCTCGTACCCGTATCCTTGCTGTCCGCTTTTGTGGTCCTCAGTGGTTTATTAGGATTCCTCGACGTTGTATTCCTGAGGCTGAGACTCTGTTTCCCGGAGCTTTTGGACCTGATAAATTGTGTGCCTTGTATAAAGGAATTGTGTATCGCCCGAAGATCACCAATATATTAAGAAAAGCTCCTCGTGTTTATTCCTCCTCTCTCCAAACGCAAGGGAATTTAGAGCCGGACCAAAGAGCGACTCTTTAGCCCTTGTGTTAAAACCAATAAGCAAGTCACCGTCAAGTCGGCACGCTACCCATAACTATTTCAACTTCGCGGCGGTGTTTCCGGTCACACAAGTGCTCCAAGTATGCTGACGACACAAAAGTTTATAATACAGTGAGGAATACGTCGCAAAAAGTACAGTTGCAAGATAATCTTGGCAGATTGGTTGACTGTGCTGGTAAGTGGCAGCTGCGTTTTAATGCTGACAAATGTAAAGTAATCCACCTTGGCAAAAATAATGAACAGCAATATTACAGTATGAGAAGACATGGTTGCAACGACAAAGTGATGATGTCGAAGTCGACAATGGAGAAAGATTTAGAAATTAATGTCGACAGAGAGTTTAAATTTCTAAGCATACTGAAGCTCAAGTTAATAGAACCAATAAACGACTTGGACTGATCAGACGCTCATACGAGTACATAGAAACTGAAGCGACAAAGCAGATAATTGTCGCTGTCGTGCGTCCGAACCTAGAGTTTGGAAACGGCGTGTGGTCACCAAGTTTAGAAAAAGGACAAAAATTTAGTCGAATGTGTTCAAAGACATGCAAAAAGATAATTCTGGGATTAAAAGGCAAGCCTTATGAAGAAAGATTATTAACCTTTCAAGCCTCTGTTATCGACGTCTGCGTGTGAGTTCATTGAAGGATACAAGTATGATCACGGTATATACAAGGTCCCAGAAGGATTACTAGAATTTTAAACAAGAACCAACACCAGGGGCCACGGCTATAAACTAAAAAAATGCGTTTTAACACACCCATGCGACAACATTTTTTCTCACTTCGAGTCACCGACATGTGGAACAGCCTCCCTGATAGCATCGTTGACGCTCCGAGTATGAACGCTTTCAAGGACAGATAAGACGAAGCTATGCAGGGGCATATGTTCAGTCGTAAATGCCTAGCAAATTACGGACCAGGCAATGCGTCCAGTAGCTATCTCAATCAATCGTCAGTTATGGAAAGATCGAGTTCCAAAGGACGGATCTCTTGTGAATCAAGTCACGAAAACTATAAGAAGCGGCAACAGGCCATGGGCCTATTTCTTGCGTCTCGGACAAATTTACGGCCGGACCCGAGGCCGGTCTCACGGCCGCCGGACTCCAAACATAGAAAAAACCTAGCCAATCAACGAAAACCTCGCAGGTTAGGTCCGGTTAGGAACAAGTTACATACAAAACACAAAAAAAACTAGAAAAACCCATAAAAACACTAAGAAAACCTTTCCGGCCGCGAGACCGGCCGTGGGTCCGGCCGTAAATTTGTCCGAGACCTCTATTTCTTCAGTGTCGACACTTCTATTCCATTCTATGAGTGAATTTCTCTAGTTGATTGATATATGAAGTTGAATCATGGATGTTATAACTTGACATCTTAATTATAAATAGGCTCAAATGAAATATATTATGTTTATGCTGCCACAGTGCATTTGAGTTGTGAATAACTTCTGTGAGTTAAATGATATATGATTAAGAATCAATGAAGCTTTCACTGAAAAATGTAAATCTAAAACGGATTCACTGTTTCATACAAAACTCGTAAACTATTGGTGCTATGAAGTGATTGAATTTCTTCAATTAGGCGATAGTCGGGAATCATGGTGGTTATTACCGAAAATGTAATTTGGAAACGGCCCAAATTGGAAAGCCCAATTTTGAAGTGGCTCGACTAACATCTATGGATTCTATGCCATTGTTGCAGCCGCTGCCAAGTTAGAAAGTGGATGAATTTCTTTAAAGTTAGATGATATTCGGTGTTGAAACATAATAGTTTTAGTCACCTGGTTCGAGTTTGGCGGACAGGTCCAAGTCCGGACTGTCCGGTATTTAGTCTGTACCGCGCTAACTTCGGCAAAGTTGACAGTTCCCGGGTCTTTTGAGTTTCAAACGTTGTAATGTGAAGATTAAATGAGGATTCGAGTTTTTAACATCGTTAGAAAAGCAAGCTTCTCATTGGTATTTGGTCCTTACGCCTTAATATAGCGCATTGCAGTTCTGTAAGATTTTAGCAAAGGTAGACCGGTAGACGCGTACCTAAGGCAGTAAGGCTAAAAGATGGTTGTCAATGCCGGTAAAAAATGCGCCATGCCGTGTGCTGTGCTCGGTGCTCCAAAAGTTGTTTGAAGATGAATGTGCAGCAACGGGCGTCGGACCGTAACGCCATCACACATGAACACAGGGTGCCCGAGGGTGGAATTCTAGAAATGGAAGTTCACTTATAAAAAAGCTTTCCACCCCAGGTGGAATGCTTTCCTTAGATACAGTGCTCCTGTCTCTTATACACATCTAGATGTGTATAAGAGACAGGTTACTAACGCGCTGGATATACTCACGCGCTGGAGTTACTCACGCGCTGGAGTTACTCACGCGCTGGAGTTACTCACGCGCTGGAGATACTCACGCGCTGGAGATACTCACGCGCTGGAGTTACTCACGCGCTGGAGTTACTCACGCGCTGGAGATACTCACGCGCT